GGTTTTGGGGTGGGGGAAGGAGAGAGAAGGGAGGAAGGAATAAGGGCAAGAGCTTCTTGCTCTTTTTTTCTAGATGAATTTGTAAGCATATTGGTGTTGCTGGGAGGAGTTTCACAAGTTAACCAGTCAACATTTCCAGTTGCTGAGGTTCTGCATCAACTCCATCTTGGGCTAACTTGAAACTTAAAATTGCTTGATCATTCCAGAGAATAAGTTCAATGCAGAATGTTTTTGTTTGGGAAACAATTGTTTTGTTTCATAAATAAGTGTCTAAAAGTGGGCCCATAAAATGGCATATTAAGGGCAACCCTTGCTCTAAGTAGAGTTGGCAGTGAAGACAGTTGCACAGTGAATGTTACACAGTGAATGTACACAGTTACACATTTGGAGGGGAACCTTTGTTGAAAACACACCTCTGTATTCATAATTCTTTCCTCCACAGCTTGGAAAATGCCACTTGTGGAAAAATCATTGCACAGCATTGCAATTAAAGAAGTTAAGCTTCTCTAAACTATCAACAGAGTTACTTACTAGAAGTGGTTGCTAGTTCCCCAGTTCTTCCCGGTGTAAAGAATATCAGCAGGTTAATTAGAAGATGTGTTTGAAAGGGTTGTGTTAGGCTTACCTCTTGTTACCTTTGGCTTTCTGTGACTACTTCAGTTGTGACTAATCCCCAGGGTGAAATGGTGTAGTATCATCCTGGGTGGAGAAGTGTAGGTGCCCTTCCTCTGGGACTGAGAAGAGCAAAATATCACTGCAGTACTTCTTAAGCTGCTGAATTCTTGTGTGAATTAAGGCTTGTCTGAGAAGGTAGTCAGAGTAATTATTTGTTTATGAAGTGGGTTGGGCTCTATGGGGAGAGGAGCTCTTTAACTCTTGCAGTATGAACATCCTCACAGGAATTTGTACTGGAATGTATTCTGCAAGTTTGTCTATCAGTAGGAATCTACCAGAGAAAAGAAGGAGGTTGTTTCCTTCCATTCTGTGTTACCTCCAAAGCTGTGTGATTGCCAAAGCAGTTTTGGCTGTTGCTCACTCCTTACTCCTTTGTAACTTCTTCTCACAGAACAAAGTCGCCGTGATGACCTGGAGAGCCTGGGCTATGTGCTCATGTATTTCAACCTGGGCTCCCTGCCCTGGCAGGGCCTCAAGGCTGCCACCAAGCGCCAAAAGTACGAGAGGATCAGCGAGAAAAAGATGTCAACGCCCATTGAGGTGCTCTGCAAAGGGTACCCTTGTAAGTGCTCTGGTCTTGATGGGTGTCTTGTCTGATGGATGGCTTGCTCTCCTGCTAGAAGGGCAGTGCCCAGTACCCCAGGCCAGGGTGTGGTGCTGACATCGGTGATGAGAAGGATAAGAGATTGGTGGTGATACAATTCTGTTTCAGAAGTGGGAAATGTGTTTTTGTGGAGAGTCAAGCTTTTGTGTTAGTAAGTGCAGAGAGTGCTGAGAGGGATCTTCACGACCTTAGGAACAGGTTGGAAGGGGAGTTGGACAGTGAGGTGAGAAGATGTGCTGATGGTCCTCGGTTTTTACTGGTTAATGAGGATGAGGACTAACAATAATGAATCCCAGAAATAACCAGGCAGTGAAGTGGCAAATGAAGTTCTCTGTAGGTAAAAGTGGAGTAATGTCTATGAGAGGCAAGAGAAGGCTTGGTCCTTATGTCATGCGCAGAATAGTAGGCTCTGAGCTAACCAGTGCCACTCACCAGTGAGCTGTTGAGGTTAAAATAGGTGGTTCTGTGAAAGTGGTAACTTTGTACTTTGTGGCTATTGGGTGTTAGGAATTACTTGGAAAGAGAAGAAATCCAAACAGTGTGTATAAACCCATGGCCCACTCGCACCTTGTGTGGACTGTGCAGCTGTGATCCATCCCACTATTTCTGAAAGGGTGCAATAGAACACTCTTGGGGAAGAGTGGCTGGAAAGCTGCCTG